GGATTTAAAACTTCGGTATACTCCGAAATACAGAGAGACTGACCAGGCGGTGATGGGCTTAATCAGCAATGTGTGAACTCATGGCAAGGGCTTGAATGTGACAGACGTTCCCGCACTCCAGCTTTAAGCCCGAATCCTTGTTTATCTAGGGTGCTGTAGGTCTGATGAGTTAAAATGCCATTTCGATTTACAGTAATGCTTGTGTCTAATTTACACAGTAAACACGATCTCACACAAGAGCTGCTCAGCACAACTTAAGTCTTTTCAGTTGGTCCCTGGAGCAGTTTGCAGATTAAGTGCCTTGCTCAAAGCTCAAGGCAAGCGCTCCTGATTCACTTCCTTGCACAGTTTTATCCTGAAGGTCCCGGTTTGAATCGGCTACCTTCTAATCACATGCCCAATTCTCCAACCTCCAGGCTGCAGTCTGCTCCAGCACAAACTACTGTACAATACATAGCTACGTACATTCTAGTTTAAATAGTTTGTTAGCTGTCATCTAAAAATATGTTTGCCGGCAGTATTCTTGTTACTGTACAACATGTAAGCTGTTTACTTGCTTGTTGGTATTTTCATTTATTTGATAAATTAACCAATATATTATTCAGTGAGTTTATAATAGCAAGAGGCGGCTGGGCAAATGTAGCAGCTGATGAAACGGAGAAAAGACATAAAAACTCAGCCCTTAAGAAGTGCAGAGTACCATGAATGTGGCGTGGGATCATGCCCGTCTCCACTGTGCTGTCCAAAAAAAAAGAAAAAAAAAATCAATAACATAATGCAAGCAAGAGATTGAGAATTATTAAGAGTAACATGTGAAGACATCAACACCAGAAATTGGGAAAGAAATTCTCCTCAGCTCATCTTTTCAGGTATTTTCCTGTCTTGTCAGTGGACTGAAGTTTTATCCTTCCAATTATTTACTAAACAAGATTCATACTGATTGAGTTAGCAATGAGTGGGTGCCAAGGTTTTATACTTTAAAATATTACAGGTGCCATAATTCATTCAAAATAGTATTCAGTTCAAATTCAGACACATTTATGCTGCAGTAAGTGTAGCTCTTCCTCACGTCCTGTGATTTATTCTACATCTTTCCAAAAATGCTGACATGCATGTGGGCGTGATTGACAGGAACGAGGGGGATGCCCTCTCCCCAAGACATCTCCTGAATGGTATGAGGAATGAACCTTAGGTTATTTTTCTAAGTGAGTGGATCATTCAAGAGAATCGTTCATCCGTCATACAGAGAAACTGTCAAATCCATGGCGTTTAGAGAGCTAAAACACCTCGTCTATAACAAAAATCTGTGCTTTTCTTATAATAATGTATACTTTTTTCACAGGAGGAAATTAAGCTCTCTAACACTACCTGTTATACAGCACAGCCACCAACATATTGCACCAAACCACTGACTTAAATAGTAGATGGACAAGACACTGCCCCATTAAATGGATTGCTCAGGCATGATGCAGGGAAATTTATCACAATTCCTGCAGTTTAAATGACTTCAGGTGCAGAAGAACAAGCAAACTTTCAATTACAAATGTCCATCTGAGTGATGGATGCAAGCATCCTTTGGGCCGCTCATTAACAAGACGCATCATTCTTCCCCAGTATAATTAAAATCAGACCGTTTGAGGTAGCTACTATAGCCTTTCAAACTCTGAAACCTTGACCTTTAATTATGGCACCTCCGTCAGTGTAAATTTTGACGCTCCAGCACACACTGCCAAGATGCATCATTCACTATAGTTAAGCAAAATTGGCAAAATTGGCAAAATTGGACCGGAGGTGTCTGATTTATCAACTTTGAGGCAAATGCTTTGAGCCTTAATTGCTGCATTGGACCAACACCGGAAAATAGTGTGTTGTTTATTTCAAAATGAAATTAGTGGCATGGTTACAGTATTACCTGAGAAGTTATGTATGAACACAGCCTGAACTTTAAAGCCTTTTCACTGGACTGGGATCAAATTTTTACAATGTTACAGTTAATGTGTGATTCAGAATAATGAAGTAGCTGCAGTGATTTGACAGGTAGATACAAATTATTTCAGGTAGATAGAAAACGAAAAAAAAAAAACCTGAAATAACATAACATAAAACGGTTGTTTAATTTTAAACTCTATTAGCAGGACATTATAATCATACAGTGTACAGTAAATATCAATGAGAAAATGCAGGTCAACACCATTTACACTTTTTTTCCACTTCAATTAGCAGGGGAAATTGGTTTTACTACTAAAATAACTCGATGTGCTATGAAGCATCAACACAGCATACTGAAATATCCTTTTAGGAACATAATTATAGTATCACTGTGCAGATGGGGCTAGAGACACCACTCAGTGAGTTATTATACCAATCTCCGTTAACAGTGCTTGGATGTTAAAGTCCCTGTAAATAGTGTCCTCAATTGAATTATTTGCCAGCCTATTTGTCATGAAGCTAAAGGTTTGACAGGAAATCCAACTGGTCAAAATGATACATCAGATCCCTCCCTGGTAGTCTTTAGAGGTAGCGTGGCTAATAGCCACTCGCAATACCTGTACATTAAAGCAGCATGTCACTGACAAGACTTGGGAGTGTGAAGAGCTAAACGGAGGTTGATGTAATTACTAAACACCAAAGCTTAATCAGAATATCATAAATCAAATATACAGATGCAATGCCGCACACGTGCATGCACACACACACACACACGCACACACGCACACACGCACACACGCACACACGCACACACACACACACACACACACACACACACGCACGCACACACACATACATATACACACATTTAGCAAGGTTCTTTAGGACATTCGTTACTGCAGCTTCAGCCATCCAATCATGTTAATTTTATTTGGACAGGCAGATTGGCCACTGGTAGATTTAACAATTCACCAGAGTCTCAGGCCATTTTTCAAACCACAAATCATGAGTCTACATCTCATCGATCAGAGGGCGCCCTATTAACTCAGAGTGACATAAATTAACTTGTGTCCCTAAACAAAGGTTGGGAGACACCATTGCACCTATCATGGGGTTACATTCTCTATCCTGTCTGCAACTCTGCAACTATGAGCACATTTTATTTCGTGTTTATATCTGAGACCTGTGTATGTGTGCATAGAAATGTGTTGGTGCATGTGAAAGCTTTAAATGCCAGTGGTAATTAAAGAGAGCCAGAGCTGGTATGAGCGACAAAGGATGTTGTGTTCCATTTCTGTCACTGCCTTTGATGGGTGATGTTTATTTAACATACAGTAGTTCAGCAGTCTATGTGGGTGTGTGCATTTGTCTGTGTATATTTACGTACTGGACTGAATATTAGTGCTCTTGCCATTTAGACTAACAGTGGGAATGAGTGTCAAAGCCTTCCAAGAAATATTTCTTCTATTTACACTCACATAAATGTAGTTGTGATACATGGTAGCTGTTCCTCAGTGGTACACGGAGGAACAAATATTGGTTGAATGAATCGATTTCTGCTCTGCAGCCTCTCTATAAACAAGCCAAATATGCTGCTGAGGACAAAGGGAATTAAAAGCAGGGGGGCACTTATTTTAAGCAGTGTTATTTATAGTCTCATACTATCTTGTTTGAATTGAAATGCTCAGCGGCACATAAAAAGAAACGATGCTACAACTGAACTTGAGGAAAAGAAAGATGCATGAAAAGCTGTGTGTGTGTGTGTGTGTGTGTGTGTGTGTGTGTGTGTGTGTGTGTGTGTGTGTTAGTGTAGATGGTGAGGGGCCGGTAATCAGAAGTGGGGGCAGCATTGCATGTGTGCACTTGCCTTAAGGATTTGGATCTCTCTCCCTCACTAAACAGAGAGGAGTCCATCAGCAACAGATACCCCTTCAATTATTCAGGAGGTTAGCATGAAAAATAAATGGCTGTTTCCTGCAGTGAGAGGTGTGGTGCCAGCCACTCTGGTTCCCCTGAATCTTTCAGCCCACTGTACACTCACAGAGGTTAGGCTGGGCAATTGATTCCTTTCAGCAATGATTATGGATCACTGCTTTTGTCTCATCATTGGCCAAGACCCACAACTACTGGGCAGCTGCCTCGACCTCATCACCACTGAGAAAATTAAGCTCCAGGTCGTGGTGTGAAATAGTTGTGATACTCAAGCGAGCTGTTTACTGTACTATTGAGGGAAAGCAGCTCAACAGAAACTCTCCTCTGAACTGTGCCACGGCAATTCCAAGCATTGCATAGAATTTCAAAACCTTTTAGCCGATGATGGAAAACACTTCAAAAGATTGAAAGAACAAAAAGGTTGTAAAATCAGGTATTTAAATACTGCTAATGTGAGTCTGTTTGTTTGCCAACTCATTTGGTGATTTGCAGGTCAGAGTCAGGTTTTTCAGAGTCTACCTTACTTATAACCATTTAATCTAAATGACTGTATGTAGCTAGGAACTGCACCACACAAATATACCCATATAAACACACATTGCCGGTCTGTAACAATACTACAATCAGTTTTCCTCGTACATGTTTAAAAACTTCTATTTGTACCACAGTCTTTCGTTAAGTCCAAATACCCTTATCTTCAGTGCCTTACTGTAAATACACGCAGAGCATGTTTATCTTCAAAAATTTTCATTGCATGTTTGCAAAAGGTTCAAGCTCCTCTACTTGTTTCATGTGACAGTGTGGATCTATGAGGGTAGTTTTCTGAACAATACCGGCCTGTCACACAGGCAGCCAGCTCACTTCTATGATTAGACTGGAAGCAAGCCAGTTGTCCCTGATGTCATGTCACTTTGTTCTAGGTGATAGTCATTTGGCATTAGCTGAATTTTGGTCTTTGTCTGTCTTCAGTGCTTCTTACTTTGCCTTTCTTCTCCTGTCTGACTAATTTGTGCCTCTCTTTGTGCCACCGTCTCATTTTTCTCTTCATGATGATTTGCCCAGAAGGAAAGAAAAGGTGGGAAAAATAGCTCTGCATAGGATCTAATGTTAGCTCCCTCTTTGCTTTTCTCTCTTTCCAGGCGGTCCATCACGTTGGTCCTCCCCTCCATGTGATTGCTGCTGCAAGAACCATAAGGGTGACGGCGAAGGCGAGAGTGGCACTTCCTTTAACGACCTCTCCACCTCGAGCTCTGAGAGCCAGTCAGAGGCCAGCTCACCCCAGGGAACAGTCATCTGTGGCCCGGTTAGTCGCCAATCACACCCCCACGCCAATGTCCAAACCCTGGACAGGCCACTGAAAAAGGGCCCCGTCGCCATGCTCCAGCAGTCCGAACAGCGGCGTAAGAGTGACTTGCTGCGCACGCTCACGGCGAGCTCCCGCGACACCAGCACCTGCAAGAAAAGGCCAGCGAAAGAGAAGCTGACGGTCGAGGAGGAGCTGGAAAAGTGCATTCAAGACTTCCGCAAGATCAAGATCCCAGAGAGGTTCCCCGAGAGGAAGTACATGTGGCAGGCTGACCTGCTGAGAAAGTACCGCCTCTGAGCCAGGAAACAGGAGAGAGGGAGCAAACACATGAGGCCAAGGATCAGTTTACATGTTTTTTGATCATGACTTTTGCAACAAAATGGAGGCAACACTAAACTCATTTGAATCCAGTTCCTGAGGGAAATTTTCTCCTGTATGTCAGCAGATTGAACGTCTACGCAGAAGCTAGAAAGAAGCATAAAAAAACAGACTGATCTCTTATTGACGTATGTATGTGTGTGTGTGTAGTTTAGGTCTACTGTATGTACTTGTAAGTATGTGCTGTACCTTGCTGAATGCTTCAGAGCTTTGAATAATTTATCCCTGAGGACCAATCACAGTGGGCGAAAGACATCTGATCGACCAACCGGAAGCTTGCAAATGGCTACACTGGGATTTACTGAGGGTCACTGGACTGTACACACTGTCATCTGACATCACTGAGAACCCATCCACAGAGCCACAGTCCACAAAGACAAACACTGATTTAGTTTGTGAATGTGTGTGTGTGTGTATGTGGGTGCGTGTGTGTGTGTGTGTGTGTGTGTGTGTGTGTGTGTGTGTGTGTGTGTGTGTGTGTGTGTGTTTCGCACCCAGGTGGCCTAGAGGTCACAGATAAATCTGCATCAGGATCCATTAATAATTCATGCTGTCCCGACAGTGCTCTCACTATAAATACACCCAGAGCTCTCTGCTGCCAGGGTAGTGTAAACAGCTGGGTCAATTACTTTACTTTTAGGCAACATTTGAGGACTTCTGAGGCAGGAGGAGGTACAATTTCATCAGCAGCACAATTCATTTCCTTCTTCTAATATCAGTTGTATTGCAAACGTACCCCAAGTGAATCCAACCACCATACACTGCATTGATTTGTTGCTGCGTTGGCTAAATGTAGAGCAATACCCAGGTTACAGTGTGAAGGATAAGTGAAAGAGTGAAGGATCTGATTTGATAGTCAACCCACGGGGAAATACAGAAGTCCTGATTCAACACACCTATACACACACACACACCCTTCCATTTATTGGACTGGCATTTAATCCCATTTACATTACTGAAATCAACAGAGCACTCACAAACGCACCCACACAAACACACAAAGCAATCAATCGTGAGGTCATTTAAATGTTCAATATGACACCTGCATCGAATACGGACAGAAGTGGACAGGATCGCTAGATTTGCTAACCCCTGTCAGGACAGACCGATGCGTTCTGCACTGACTCCTGACATGGTAATCAATAGTTATTGATGATAGAGTCCGGTGATAGAGCCGATAGACGTGGCTCTTGTTTACAGTTATTAATGAAGCCCCTGGGTTACTGACAAAGGCAAGCTGTTTGTGAAAATTAGCCATTATTCATGCATTCATTTAAGTACTCTTGGCTCTGTCAGAGTCAATGGGATGTGGATTGCAATGTGGCTGCAGAAACAAACATTGCAGATAGCGTATTTTAAAAGAGCACAATTCAAGAACAGTTTAATTTCCTGGTAGGTTGATTGTTATTTATTTAAGGCTGTTGTTGGATCATATATATATATAAATACTGACAGAATGATTTAGAAATAATTTAATAGAGCAAATTAAATTATTGACCACAATAAATGGCTAAAAGCACACAGACGTCCACTGGTGTTGGAATCATAACTGAGTTCTTTTTAGAGTTATGGTGGTAAACCCAAAAAGAATTGTTGTCAGATGCATTGTTTATTTAAAGAGGTAGTGTTACTCACATCTCTCGTTTTAGGACGGAACATATATGAAAGGACTGAACGTATACAACAGTCACAACTACAAAGGAAACAAGTGACATGTCAGAATTAGAGTTCAAGATGTTAAAATCTTTTATTGGTACAAGTAAATCAGATGTTAATGTGTTTGTAATTCCGACAACACGACCAATAAAATGTATGCCGTTATGATATAATATGAGACAAATCTGATCAGATTTGTTTTGGAGTTTCTTTAAGATGAAGTAACTAAAGTAGACGACTGGCGATCAACTGCTTACAGATAAATGTGTTTGTTGACCACAGCTTCAGGTGAAATTTGAGGTATTTATGAATGGTGTGACAATAGACAGCTGTGATGAAAAATGTGGTTTGAGTTGTTAAGTTTGAAATATTATGAATTGACTTGTACTGATGAAAGTTCACAATGACCTTGGTAGCATAAGATTAAAAAAAAATAGGGGAGGAAGTGGAAATAATTTTCACAGAGAAACTTGATTTGAACTTCTCATAGTGTATATTTGTTCTAAAATCTTATGAAAGTGCAGAGGAGTGGGCTTCATAAACAATCAACGCTTTTTACAAAGCACAAACTAAGTATACAGTTTAATTAAAAGCACACCCAAATAATAAAATATGCAGAATATATACTTATTCAAAAATCACTTTATTTAAAAATGTCCCTGATATGTTCATAAAAACTGATATTACAAAATGTTTTATTATACTTATTTTTCTATCCAAAGGCCTTTAAATTAATATATAATCAAATGCCCTTATGTTTCCCATAAAATGTATTTCCTTTGAGAGAACTGGTTGGAGGAGATTTCCGGTTATATTCAGAAATATGGTTGCAATAGGTGCTAGATTCAAACCTTCCATTTTCCTCATGTCAATACAATGAAAATTACTTATTTTTCTACACTGCTGGAATATTACGTTTTCATTTCAAAGCCATTTATCTTATCAGTTTAAGTTGAAATATGTTAATTCAGACTACATATCATATGTAAATAATCATCATAAATCATACCTAACCAGAATAATGTATTATACTCTCTGTATATAACATGCAAATCCATGAGGCGTGGCTGCTACTTTGTTCTTGTGATGCAGTAGACTGACACTAATGTAATACAGCCATTCTTGTTTTATCATTTCTAGTGTTGGGCCATCAGGGATGAGGGAAAATATAATACACTACTATACCATGCTATATACCACAATAACAAGTGATAAGTTAATCGATTTTCAGGACAAAAGTGTCATAAATGGTCGGTCAGCACATTTGTCTGATAGCACCACAGAGGCAGTCACTGCTGAATAAGACCATTCAGTGACTGAATTGCGATCAGTAGATCTTCAAATTTATATTTAGTGTTTATCAAAGAGAAAAAAAAAAAAAAAAAGATTGTTTAAAAGTCAAAAGCTACAAACTGTTCAGCTGTAACACTGGAGCTTCGGTTACCACACAGTGCAGTCAGAAAGTGTTAGGACTATGATTTCGTTTTTTTTGTGCGTGTGTGTGCTGTTTTGGCTCTGTACTCCAGAACATTGGGTTTGAAATTAAACAAAGACTATGAGGTGAAATTGCTGACTTCAAGCTTCTAACAGTGTTTGTTTCATCCATATTGGGCAAACCCCCCCCACCCCCCACCCAATTATAAAACAATCCAGCAGGATAATGATTCTAAACACAGAGGCAAAGCAACAAAGGAGGTTCTATGGATTAATACTTCAATGTTTCTTGCCTGATCAAGTTGATCATCTGTCCTCACTTCAACCATGAAGGCCAGCATGAAGTGAAGACAGCTGCAGCAGAGAGGGAGACATGGACTACAATGGATTTGCAGCCAAATACTGAATACGACAACTTAAACTGGGGGACTTTAAGGGGCCACATGTACGACAGTTTGGATGTAAATTTCACTCAAGTGAAAGCAAAGCTGAAAATCTAAACTGAGACTGAAAGTCTAATGAACTAGAGCACAGAGCCAACACACAACAACACTGACTGCACTGTACAGTTCATCTTTAATTATTTTCATGCACCTTTAATCTTTGCTAAAGTGGGTTGCATTCTCGGTTAGTTTGCTTGGTCTGAACCAAAGGTAAAACACATTTTTGTTGTGCAATAGCATACCGTAGGTTCACACTGACCAGTTACAAACAACTAGGGGTTGTTGCAACTACAGGCCAGACAATACCTTGATTCTGGTCAATTTTTTACTTTTTTAGGTGATCTGAGATCTGAGAAACATCATCAGAATTTAAGATACTGAATCAAGATTATTCCCCTTTTTCCTTTTCCCATAAATCATGTTTTCAGTTACTGGTACAATCATTATGATCCAAACATGGTAAACAGTTTGAACGTGAAAGATAAATGTTTCTTCATTTTTCAAAACTGTTCCAATTTTAATTATTTTTTTGACATCAAGTTATTTTTGACATCTGCAGTACTTAGTCTTGCGCTGTTCATATTCAGCACCGTTCTAGGCAAGAAAGCAAGTTGATATTCTTGCAGGGTTTGGGTTTGCTAGACTCTGCCTGCCATTTTAAAAACGTGTTGAGCTTATTGAACAACAAGGAGGATCAGTCACAGAAATTATTAGACATTAGAAAAAGGATTAGAAATGATGTTAAACAGACACACACTGGAAATGAATACCAAGACACCCGGAGGCCTTCTAGAGTAGACTACAGCTGTTTTTGCACAATGTATAAAGTTAACAAAAACACACAAACAAGAAAGTATTTGAAAAAGAGATAAATATGTTAATAATCACCTTACATGCACAATACAGCCACAAATGATGTGTCTGTCGTGAGAGAGAAAGATTCAAATGTTTGTTGTATTGTAGATCAAGGTTACAAATTTTCACCTTCAGAGCATGTGAGATGATGTTCAGTTCTTTGGGCCGTGAAATGAACAACAAATGATGTAAATCTTATTGCTAGAGAATGACTGCAATGTTGTTTTAAGTCACATGTGATGTATGAAAAGGAGGAGAGACTGAACTGATGTTAAGTTTGTCAATTTCTGTTATTTTTGGAGTGCCCGGCTGCAGTCTGTGATTTTCTTTCCTGAAGTTATAGTCATGCCCTGCAAGTGAAGCCTGAGTTCATGATTGCGGGCACTGTTATTTTTCCTCCTGCCTCTGATGAGCCTGCGAACCACAAAGAAAATCACATTCTTCTGACACCACCATGGTCGACCCGGCACATTCTGTTTGAAACAAAAAGGGCGTCTGTTTTGATGTATGTTGTTCTGACACAAAAAAGAA